ATGTGGTTATTGTGAGATTCAGAGAGATCCGAGGTATACTACCCTTAGCATGGCTCCCGGCACAACATAATAGCAGTCAGTAGTTGTGGAGGTAGTGGGGCTAGTGATTCACACTGAGCATCAGTGCCGGGGGCCCAGCCCTTTGTGAGCTTAAAAAAGATAGTGAAGTTTGGGCCAAAGATGCACAAGAGCAATGAGTGCCTGAGGGATGGAGAGAAGCTTCCAGGGATGGAAACAGTGGGAGAGGGAGAGGCTGGGCCCAGTGAAGACATCTTGGCCAGCATTTTCTTGCCATGATAATTAATTGCCAATCAGCCAGGGTTTTGACAGCTTCAGACAGCAATCCTAAAATTCATTATCAGAGTCACAACCCTCTGTCGTTGCTGTAAGCCAGGTGCTAAAATGTATCACAGAATCATAGCCTTTCTCTCCAGGTAGTTTAGCAACATCATCCCTGGGTGTTGTTCCTTTTGAAAAAAATTTTCCTCCCAGGCCCAAACGTTGGCTATACCTTTCTCATATGATTTTTTAAAAATAAATAATCCTTGTATATTTGTTATAAATATAAGAATTGGAAATAAGGGTGGTAGGAAGATGGCAAAAGTAGCCTTTTTGATTACTGCATGGAATTATGTCAAAATACTCAGCTTTTCCCATATATAGAGTCTGGGAAACTTGCATAAAGATTTATTCCACTGGGAATCAAAATTTCAGTGTTAATTGCTTAATAACGAGGAAAACCGTCCCTTCTCTGGTATCCGATTTGGCCTAGCTTCAGAGCTGGAGGAATGATTCAGAGACCAGGTACCAAAGAGGCAGTCCAGATGCTGGCATTCAGATACCGACGACCTAGCTGGGCGGTTCGGGGCCAGTGAAGCTCAGGCTGACTTCAGAGCAGCTGTCCATCCTGGGCCTGCGGCTACCTGGATTCCTTTGCTAAAGCTGCTAATTCTTCTGAGGAATTCATGGGCCTAATCCTGCTTTCATCAGTAATCTCCCAGGCTATGGGAACGTTCTCAGGGAGTCAGGATCTCAGAGCTACTGGGCATTCTCGAAAACAGACCTCTAGTTCCAGAGTTCAGCGTCTCAGAAAACTGCTGTCAGATAGCGGCTGCTGAGAGCTGCATGGTTTATCTCAATAACCACGGTGGTTCTTGGTGTTCCATGGCGTCACTTCCTGCAGAGCTGATACATGGCAGCACGTATTTAAATTTTACATATGCCCTACCAGACAGAATTTCAACATAAGTATACAAACATTGTGAGTCATCAAATCGTTTGCCCTCTAGTGACTCCCAAATGTGATGAGTGCCAATTTAACTTAATGTCTATAATTTAAATGTATATGTACATATACAGAATTGTTACTTTTTTGGAAATGCAAATTCTTTTTAAAAGTTGATGCATATTAGCAACAGGAATCTTTGTTATCATGCTGAAATGTCTTACGAGTTTATATTAAATTGACACATTTTTTTTCATATGGGATTGTATCTAAATTCATAATTTTAAAGTCAAATTCTAAAATATGTCAACAAAAATATTATTTCCCAGGGATGTGAATAAAATAGACGATTTGATGCAAGAGATCACAGAGCAGCAGGATATTGCCCAGGAAATCTCAGAAGCGTTTTCTCAACGGGTTGGATTTGGTGATGACTTTGATGAGGTGGGTGATACAATATGAAAAATGCAGTGTTATGGCTGCCGGAAAGGATAGCTTCCCACCATATGGAGCAAGCAGGTTTTCTTACAGATTTCCTTAAATATCATTAAAGAATAAATGATATTTGTTAGAAATGTACCTGTCTTAAGAGGGAAATAGAGTGTTGGTAGCTCTGATGTGAAGGAGGGATTAATACAGTTTGACAAACAGCCTTTAATTAAGTTTTCAGCTATTAAGGCAAAGCAGTATGTAAAGTTAGGGACATTTAATGGCTGAAGCCTAAATCGCCCCATTATGAGAAACTGAGTGCTCCCACATCTGGGCAAAACAAAGCAGACTGTGTCACTCTGCAAGGAACAGGTGTATCATGCTCTGTGGTTGTTACAGTAGAGGTCAGGCTGGCTCTGTTTATTATTCAGGCAATGAAACAAAGTTAATGTGGAGTGGCGTTATTCACACATACATTCCGTTTAGATGAATCAGTCCAATAATACAGACCTGTAATTATAATGGTGGTGTCTGTACTGTGAATTTCAATTGTTCTACTCAAAACACACGCAAGTAGGGCTAGTACGTATTTTGAAACGTTTCCTGTCCTCAGACTAGCATGGCTGAGAATCTGGCTTCCTACACCCACATGGTATTAAAAATGATACATCTGATAAGTAAGATGCAGTTCTGCAGAAATGTGGAACCAGTCCCTGCAGGACTGGGTGGCAACAACTTTTTGAAACGATCTAGACTAGGGGTTGGAAAAAAAATGTGGCTTTTAGGCCAAATGCTTCCCAAGTTCTGTTTTCATGCGGCCTGTTGAGCTGGATGGTTTTTATATGTTTAAAGGATGGCAGAAAAGAACAGCAACAATGACAATGACAACAAAGATGACTGTTGGACAGAGACCATACATGGTCTTCGATGCCTAAACTGTTGCTACCTGGCCCTTTACAGAAAAAAGTTTGCCTCTCTCTGGTTAGACTGACAAGCATCTGATGAGTGTGTGATGACGTGGTGGAAAGGGCTCTGGGCTCATGAGGACGTCTGGGTTTCCCTATTTATTACTAAGCTTTGTGTAAGTCCCTTTACTTTTTCTGACCCTTAGTTTTCTCATTTGTAAAATGAAAATGACTGGCTCACTAGATTATCTCTAAAGTTCCTTAGGTTCTAAAATTCTTTTATCAATGAGTAAATGAGCGTTTGGTACCTAAAGTCTGAAAATGATGGAGATGCTTATTCTGTCATCACATATTTGCTAAAGAAAATATCGATATCTTTTCAGTGCCACTGATAACTATCAAACACTGTTAGCAATTCTGGGCATCCGTTCAGCGTGGGATGGTGTGGTCTGCTATTACCGTATTTACTGTATTTGCCCCTCATTGTCTTGTGAGCAGAAATAGGATATCAGAATGTTCCTTCTGAAGGTGTCATTTTCATACAGCCTGTGGAGAACCGTGGAGCCCACGACTACGTTGAGGGCACTGTTCCACATGGTCTCATGCTACACGCTTTCATGTTTACTTCCTTTTTATGTGGCAGTTGTAACAGTGGTCAGACAGTCATTGAGCTTGCTGTTTGTCTGATACACGCTGACTCGATCAAATATTGTAATTGGCTTAAGGATCTCCACTCTTGGCCCGTAGTATTGTTACTCTCATCTTAATATAGAATAATTATTTGCTTATGCACCTTTCTCCCGCATTCAGTAAGCTCCTTAAAGACAGGGACTGTTCATTCAACTTTGTCTCCCCAGCCCTGAGGTTAGTACCTGGCCAGGAGTAAGCTCTCAATAAATTTATTCAATGATGAGTGAATGAATAAATGAAGAACCTCCTTTGTTCAATGATGAGTGAATGAATAAATGGTTGAATATAAGGGTGTCTTAGGTCACCTCTAATGATGACAGCCTAAGAAGTCTAATGATGAAAAAATCTAGTTTTGACTCCCAGCCTTTCTCAGGTGCCTTGGATGCCGGCTGTGGGCTCATGGAGCCAGTTAGACCTCAACTAGCACAAGTCATCTCATATCCATAATAAGATGACTTTTACCCGTTAAGTCTCAAACTAATCTTGCCTCTCTAAGGTTCCTGACACAGAGAGCAGTTTATGATTAAACCAGACTCTGGGACTACCGCTAAAAGAAAGAAATACAATGCACTTACCTTGAGCTGAAGCCTTCTTAACTCAAACACACAGCATGTTTTTTTTTTTTATTGGCTTTGGTAATTAAATGAAGGAACCATATTATCTTTGATTCTTTTTACTTTCAGTGTGTTATGGTTTTGTTATACCTGTTACTTTCAATAGCATTAGTGCAAATGAAAATATTTATTTCCTCCTGTTGAAGTTTCACAGATTCTTAATTCTTAACAGTAGAAAATAAAAGATACATTGGAAAAATGACAGGCAAGGTGTAAATTTCCTAGAAACTGTGGAGGTGATATATTCAGCTTGCACAAATTACTTGAAAAGCTGTTGACTGAAGTATTATAAGATTAACTCCAACAAATTTGCACAACCCCAAATATTCAGATTTTAATTATTGCTCAGTGTTGCAAAAAAGATTTAGCCTTAAAATAAATATTCCATTTCACTGGGTTCTCACGTATCAACTGGGGAGCAGATGTTCTTGTTACTGTGTTTGAGGAAACCCACTTCTTGAAACATTAACTCCATAATTCTTCCTTTCTCCTGTGTTCAGGATGAGTTGATGGCAGAGCTTGAAGAACTGGAGCAGGAAGAATTAAATAAGAAGATGACAAATATCCGACTTCCAAGTGTGCCTTCGTCCTCCCTCCCCGCACAGCCAGGCAGGGTGCCGGGTCAGATGCCGAGCGTGCCCTCCTCTGCACATCGAGCCCGAGCAGGTCTGTTCCCCACCTCAACCTCCTGGGGTCAAATAGCTCCCTGAAATAATAGCCAGGCCCATCCCTTTTAGCACTTTTCAGAAATATATGCCTTTCTGTACATAATTTATACCTGATTGTGTGTGAATATTGAAAGTATGAATGTCACCAGTGTCTAATTTTTACCCATTTTTTGGTTCCAGCATCTTCCAGGAGGGCAGAAGAAGAGGACGATGATATCAAACAACTGGCAGCTTGGGCTACTTAAATCAAAACGGAA